CATGTTGGTGGGATTGAGGGGGTCTTCAAAGTATTCTGCCCACCGATCCACAACGTCCTGAGTAGAAGTCAGCAGCACACCGTCCCCACTATAGATAGTGTTGGTAGCGCACTGCTTTCCCCCCTGAGGCGACGGATGGTGCACCAGAATCTCCTCGAAGCCGTACGGAAGTCTTGCTCCATGGTCTCACCGAACTCTTCTCATGCCCGGGTTTTTGCCTTGGCGACCACCCGAGCCACGTTCCGCTTGGACTGCCGGTACCCATCAGCTGCCTCTGGAGTCCCACAGGCAAAAAAGACCTGATAGGACTCTTTCTTCAGCTTGAGGTCCACAGCCATTACACTTTTCACCTCGTGCACCCCCTAGTGGCAGCTCGCGCACCACTTAGGGAATCCCTGACCTACGTATATGTATATGTCGATGGGTTTCACAGAACCATGTTGTAGTTTTAGCTAGTCGCCACTGGAGGGCGACAAAGCCCCCCCCCCCCCCCCCCCCCCTCCTCCATCATTTCAGAACGATTAAAAACTCTGAATTTGTAGCTAGCTGGGCTTAACTGTTTGACTCCAAATGCGCTGATTGTGTTACACTAACACAAATGCACGTTTAATTACAATTTTAGCTAAATAACAAGAGAAAATGACTGTTGGAGCGAGTTCCCCTGTGAGACATAACGCCAAAGGGTTTTATTTTGAAACAATTTACAGGAAGTGTTTCTACTAAGTAACTAATAAAACTTTATAAATGTCGCTCCCTCCTCACCTGCTCCATCATATTTATAATGTATTTAAATATTAGGATCCCCCGGTATCATTAAAATAAGAAGACTAAAATGTTTTCTTCTAAAGACAACACGTGTAGTTGTAGCTTATGTCCACTAGAGGGCGTCAAATTTCCTCCTCGTTTACATAAAGTCAGCTGAAAACTGTCATTGTGGGAGTTGGCAGCCATGTAGTTATTAAATGCACACCTTACCTTGGTTCTAAATGTTTTCAGATACATATTATGCACTTTAACCATTAAGCGACATTACAAATTGTCACTCCATTCAGAAAGAGAAGCTCAGTTACTAAATACTAAATATTAAACATCGTGAAATGCTTCAAGCATGGGCGTCAGAATGATACTAGTTTGTGTGTGTGTGTGTGTGTGTGGGGGGGGGGGGGGTAAGGACCAACATGCATGCTTTAATACTCATGCTTTAAAATTGTCAGTTTCAACAGTAAACAGAAATGTTTATTATGGTTTTATTATTTAGATACTACAGGACCACTGAGTAAAATGATCAAATAAATACAAACATTTGTTTAATCATTTCAATTTTGTTTGAGATCATAAAGTGCATACTGGAACAATGATCTTTTCAAATACGTAAAGTCAGTTTTTACACCAAAATACTTTAAACCAGTTTTCTTCAGGTAGAACTTCTTACAGGAAACAAGCTACTTGTGATTCAACGAGCTGAACGCTTTTGCATATTTAATACAGAAAATAAACATATACAGTAACAGGATTTTTCAACAACTGCTGTTTAACTAAGTACAACCAAACTTTTGTAGACCACACGTGAAAGACAAATTTAGACAGCCACAGTGGGAGAAATAAAATTAGAAGGTTACTGAAATATAATTTCAACACAGTATTTTCTTTATTTTTTATTTTTATTTTTTTGCAGCAGAGACCAGAAGAGGTATTTATTTTATGCACTGGTTTCTGGTCCCTGGATCTTTTAAAATGTGGATAATGAGATTGTTAAAAACCACCAAATTATGGTATGGAAGAAAGTTCAGGGTGAAAAATAAAAGAGAAAATATCTCCAACTGACTTCTTTCTCGTTACACTATCGGCTAAAGACAAAACGGACATGATTTCCCTGCTCGATCCTCTCCAAACCAAACCAACACTCACATGGTCTGCAGCCTTTTATCTCAACATCCCTCTTTAACAAGCTTTTTAAACTAAATAGCTATGTGGCATCTGGTGCTAATGTTACATTTAAATCCTCTGTTGGCCTTTTTAGATCAAAATGATTCAATTTATAATGAAAATACTTCCTGATTAACCCATAGAGATTGTTGCCTTGTCCGTACTCGAGTCTTATCTGACTGGGATTAGATTTGACAATAAAACATAAAAACTTGTGATTGGTTTTCATCCTGACTCAATGCTAATGCTAACTACAGCATCACTCACTCGCAGCTAATCCAAGCCCAGACTGCTACAAGACTAGTTGAGACTGCGGTGCTTTTATAACCTACAGCCACAGAGCTGCTACGTAGTTCTTTTTTTAGCTACGTAGCATCGTTCTCGTTAGCCATTGGCTAAAAACAACTCAAATAAAATGTGTTCTATACTTTTGAACTGAAGAGGGCGCTAGACTGACGTCTTTAGACAGAATTTTGAGTTTTCTAAGAAAATGCATCTAAATGCTAAAATAATGTCTACATATGTCTACAACACTATTAGACACTCAACAAAGGTTGATTTTGGTGTGACTTGCTCTTTAACAGCAGAATACATTCTTAAACACAGATTGCAAACACGTCTCAAACTTCTGCGATAGCATTCAAACACTTCCTTTATCCGCTCTACTAACAGGGAGCCTAACTCACGCCCATCTTCTGGATCATGAGTCCCCAGGACAATGAAAAATTGAATTGCAAGTCGATACAAGCTATTTTCTAATCCTGTTTGTCATGCGCCATGGATTTCACACATGATGTTCGTGAATTTTGAAGACAAATTCTGATGCCAAGAATGTGCCAATTTTCGAAAGGGGACATAAGTTGCATAAACTTAAATGGTAAAAACAAATCTTTAGTACTCTGTGTTTAGAAAAGAACCTAGCAATGGGGTTTTAGGTTTTGCGTGAAAATACGTCCAGTACTACAAACATGCATCATCAGAGTAACGTCATCGACTCAGACACGGAGAGAAGCAGAGGAAAAATGGCTGTAAGTTCGGCAAACGTCTAATCTTTCCTTCAGTAGGAAAGAACCACCATGTTGTAATGATGTGCATTGTTGTTTGGCTTGGTTGGTTCCGCAGTGTGTTGTGTTGCTGCACGGGCGTTTTTAGAGTACGCACCGTTATAGGATGCCGGCAGAGACTGTATGTTGGTGAAGTCTTGTTAATAAACCTTACTACCCCGTTGGGTAGGAAATAGATATTCTGGAGTTTGTCGTGAATGAGACCAGAATATAACATGGTGGCAGCGGAGTGAGCAGCACGGCCGGAGTGGACCCCGGGGAGACGCCTGACGAAGC